TGAATTTGTCTATTTGAAATCGCAATTTATACGATCAGCTTTTAATTTCAGACCACAAATGCCACTTCACGTCTAATGAAACTTTTTAACGAATAATTGCTACGCTATAAAACTTACCCACGTTACTATTCATACTCTAGTGCATTAAACTATGATGAAATTACCTTTATATTGATAGTCGTAAAATCACGTTGACTTTGAGCTAAAAAAAGCCTATTCGATATTATTTAGTAAAGATCTGTGTCATAATTTATTAATAAACTGATTCTCATTCCGAAATGTTATTTCAATTAATAAGTATAAGTAGACAAAAGAATACAAAAACTAAAATATTTAAATAGAAAACTTATAAGCAGGTTTCAGTATAACAACTAGTATAAAGCCTTTAAGTAAACTACTTAAATTAGACAATAACTAAAGTTATATAATTGCCTTTTATAGTTGTAATGCAACTATTAGCTAAATATACTATTAATAAAATCTCAAATCACAAATACTCAACTTAATATTTAAAAAAAAACATAAACTTTAATATAAAAAAAATTTAAAAATTATACAATTTGATAGATTAATTATCATAAATAATCATAAGTAAATCTATAAAAATTAGCCAATCAAATCAACTTCTTTCTATAAGATTCAATTACTAAATATAATAATTGGTTTAAAGTACAGTGCAGACACCCTAGTCACGACGAATAAAACAAATTGCTGTGTCTTGGTTGTCCGCACTATAACAAAAACCCTTTAATTTTTATAATTAGTAATGCAATAATTACGTTTTTGATGCATTTAATCGCGTGTTTATATTCGTATTTTGAATGTAACATAAACATGCGCACGCGTTTATTTATCTAACGGTCGTCATGTGCTCCGAATAAATTATTTTAAAAATCATAGTCAACGTTAACGTTAATTATCACGAAAGACCACAAAAAATGACATCTTTCCCAGCAAGGAATTCTCCAGTTACGTCATTTTGAATCTACAGTAAAATTGCCCAAGGAATTTTTCTCCCTGATCGTGTTACGTTACACAGAGACTTGGTTTGTTATTATTTACACGCGACATACTAAATTATTTGCAGTTTTGATTGTCAAAAATCATTTTCGCTATTTAAATTTACGCCAAGAACAGAATATTTTTGACACCCATGCCTACGCTTTCAGAGCCTTTATGCCCTAAATCCATATTTTGGACAAACCTTATTTTATTGGGTTTCAACCCTTCAGAGCTCGCAAAGGGCACATATTCAACTGTCACCTTTGATAAAGATGTCTTCACTAAAGGCTCACCTAATTCTGTGAAAGCAATGGAATTGATAGTATGGTTTTTATTTAAAAAGTTGGACGACTCGTTGACTACGACGGTAAATTGAAATAATATTTAATGTATCCGAAAAATTTATGTAAATAAATTTATATAAAACAAAATATCTTTTATAGAAATTTACATGTTGGCCAATTCTTGATTTACCATCAAGTTTGCATTTTCGGACAGTGGTGTACAAATGGTTAGATCAATTGAAAAAGGATGGCTGCCTTGGAAATATGGATATTGTTTTGAGACGTACCTTGTTTGATGAATGTCAAGGCGAAAGGTGAATAAAAAATGATAATCACAAATGACAAGCTCTTCAAGATCGTGCATAGCCCCTTAATTCGATAAATTATAAATAGATTCGAACGTCTGATAATGGCTTTTTCGAATCACGTTTTAAAAGTAACAATGGATAGAGATTACCAACACTACAATCGAGGTATATGATTTTTATAAAAATTATTATAAAAACAAGAAACAAAATGCTAACATACTTATTATGTTTTAAAGCACCGAAAATTGGATTCATAGAGCTTAAAGAATCAGCACCGGAATTATTGAAATGGATTCTAAAGGTATTCAAGATAATATGCATAAAAATGAAGGATTAATGATTATTTGTTATCGATGTAATTTTTGATCAATTTTAAATAGATATATATAAAAATGCAAACAGACAACTTTTTGCAAAAGACTAGAGAACGTACAATCTGTCAAAGTCGATGGAAGAATTTGGCAGAAAAACTTTCGAGTCATTTATATGATGTTATAGATCGAAACGTACTTTATATAAATTTACGATTTTTTACATTTTATTTATAATTCGATTAGGTTTAATTATTTATTGATTTATTTTAGAATGAATTAGAAAAACGTATTCATGAGTTTCATAAGGAGAAACATATTAATAGACGTGAAAATGTGACTATAGAACAACTTTCTTTTAAGAGAATTAAACAACTCGAAGATGCCCGCCTTATTTGGAATTCATGTTTGAGTTGGATACAAGAAAATCAAAATTATATTGGTGATTATGATAGTTATTTTCAATAAAAATTATAAAATTCCAACATTTATAAACTCAGTTTTTATTGTATAGTGAGTATTGAAGATGTTATCAACGATCGTGCAAATAAATATCGGCTTAATGGGCAGGATATTTCATTGCAAGTTCCAGAAATTATGATGAATATGTGGGAAGACGAATTCCAAAAAGTATGCTTTTTACACACGTCCAATTTGTTACATCAGCAGTTAAACATATACTAACTATTTCTAAGGCACGAATTAGTCCCTGGCAATGTGGCAGATTAGATTTAATATCTTTATTGAAATTATGGAGATTTGCACTTCAAACTTTGAACGATAAAATTATCAATTCAAAAACTATACAACATCAAACACTAGAAAGTCTAGAAAATGAATCTCTTTCGTTCACAGTTAAAAAATTAGAAGAACAGCTGACAGAACAAAAGAGACAAGTCAAAAGCCTGTCTATGCTCAAGAATTCATTAAGAATTCGGTTAAATGAAATTAACGAATCCGTTCGATTATTAAAAATAGATAACATGTTGCATAACAACCTTCGGAACCAATAAAACTTTATTAAAATTTTTATTAAAAAAAACAAAAAAACTATTAATATGTAAAAATATAATTACAATATTATTAGGCCACGCAAAGTTGATTTTCGTTTTATATTACATGGTATTCAAAATTTCGGGCGGGCGGCGGATTTTTTCTACTAACACTATCGGGAAATTTCGGTGAAGTGGTGAACCTGAATTAATTTATGAAAAAAATTAAATTGCATAAATTGATTAATTGGGTTTGGGTCAATATCCCAAAGGTACTAAATCTCAATACACTAAATTCTAAAAGAACAAAATTCCAAAAGTTAAATATTCTAAAAATTAAATTTTTAAAAAAAAAATTCCAAAACATTATAATCTAAAAAATTATAATTCCAAAAGATTAAAATCCCAAAAGATTATAATTTTAAAAAACATAATAATTATGTTTTTTAAAATTATGATTTTTTGGAATTTTAATCTTTTGGGATTGTA